CAAATGATGGCTTAATTGGGAGATCAATGACTGCCGAGGAATTATTCTTGAGATCTAAGGAGGAGCTGAAGAAACGCAATAATAGGACGGCTTTAATCATAATATTGGGTATTATTGTGACCGCAGTTATTGTCGACACATTTTCGGTCACATTTTGGATCACTTTTATCAAGAATAAGACAACCGATCAAAGTATAGAGTCTTAAATGTTTTTCCACTTATTTAGACACAAATATATTTCAAAAAGTTTATATAAAACATAAAATTATTTATAAATATATTTTTACAAAACATTATTTAAAATTTCATCGTTTAATAGTTTTATTCAAAGATTTTTAATATACTATGGGAGGCTTTCTCTCTGAAAATTATCTAATGTTTAATATCATTGAAGACTTGGATCAAGTGCTCGTCGGTTACGACCAAAATGGCACACAATTAGAAAAGGTTTGGACTAAACATTTCAAAACTCTTGTAATTATTACTATTTTTATACTAAATATTTGAATAGATTTCAGTTTTCAAATATTTCGGATGTCCTGAAAATGGTTCAAATGATAGCTTAATCGGGAGATCAATGACTGCCGAGGAATTATTCTTGAGATCTAAAGAGGATCTGAAAAAACGCAATAATAGGACGGCTTTAATCATAATATTGGGTATTATTGTGACCGCAGTTATTGTCGACACATTTTCGGTCACATTTTGGGTCACTTTTATCAAGAATAAGACAACCGATCAAAGTATAGAGTCTTAAATGTTTGTCCACTTATTTAGACACAAATATATTTCAAAAAGTTTATATAAAACATAAAATTATTTATAAATATATTTTTACAAAACATTATTTAAAATTTCATCGTTTAATAGTTTTATTCAAAGATTTTTAATAATTATTTTATTACAATTTTTGTATTTTATGAAAAAATGTAATTAAAAAATTGAGAAATATTTAGAAATAAAAAGTTATAGTTAAAAGTTAGCTAAAAGTTGGAAATAAAAACATTGTTTATTGAATAATACGTGAAATAACTGATAATTTGATACTTGTTTTTATCTATAAAATGGTAATAAATGACAATCCATTCAAAGGCTTAAAACGATAATCAATTTTAGGACAATTAGCCTTCAGATTATTGACAGCCGTTTGTGTGCTATTATTACTGCCGATGAGATTAAGGCGTCGGATGTGTCTCAGTCTTGACAATGCATTCAAGCCATCGTCGGTTAGCATCACTTGACTGAGTCTCAGAACCACGAGTTGTGGCAAATTGTGGTCAATATTAGCGAAGAATGAGTCGCCGATTGGAAGCGATGTGCGCTTGAAATCCACATTCAAATGTCTTAATCGTTTCAATCCATTCAATGAATCGCTGCTTATCTTCAAGTGGACGAAATTGCCCGACATTTTCAACCGCTTTAATTGCTTAAAGTTTGCGACAATCGTTTGACACACTTTTGGGAAATCAATTTATTTATGGTAATCAGTGTTAGAGCCGTGAGTTGCGGACATTTGTGTCCAATTTGTGGCAATAGTTGAGCCAAATCTTCCGCAAACGATCCGAAAATTATTTTCATTTCAATCAATGCCGGCATTTGTGACAATCCATCCGACAGTCTGTTAACCATATCGTTGTCCAAATGGTCGCAAACCTCCAAATCCATGGCAATTGACTTGACTTTATGGCCGTAATTGTGAGCAAACAATTCAAATGCAATCAATTGGTCGTCAATTGTGTTTTCGTCGAAGAAATTCATAATCAATTCAATACTATTGAGTCGTTTGTAATGCAATTCATTTCCAGCACTCAATGCGAGCCGTATTCGCGACAACTCTTCAAATCTAACGTTAATTAGTGTTAAATTGACACACATTTCAAGCCATCCGTACTTCAGATTCAGGAATATATTGCCGTCAAAACCAAACCAAATGTAATTCAATTGTTTGGCAAACTTTGCGAAAAAGGGATCCATTGATTGGATGTTGTCTTTAGACACAGACATATGAATGGCATTCAAATGATGGCAATATTTAATCACTAATTGAATGAATGAATTGCTTGCAGTCAATGGGTTATAACCTCTGCTCTCAATGTGTGTAATGTTTGGACACTTTGCAAGTATTGTCTCAATTGTGTCCAAATAGGTGTCATTTAAGTCGTTGTCGATGTTTACCACCGATTGACTCTTGAATATCACTCTTTGCCACTGTTTTGAGACACTTTCCCAACGAAACCGGTCTTTGAATGACAGGTAAGACAACAACTCTTCACACAAATCGTCACCAAATCTATCGAAAGAGTCTTTGCTGTAGTTTTGAGCCATTATTTGACACAAATATAACTGAAACTCAATTCAAAGCGAATTAACAGTAAATTAAATGCAAATCAAAACTCGTGTCAATAATTGATATGAATTTAAACACTGAATAAATCACTCGTTGGTATTGTTGTCCTCTCACCACATGTTTAGCCAACTATTGGTCACTATTTTGGGATCAAATCAGTGATCGGATGAAGTGTTTGACGCTTTCATTGATCAACAGTTGTGGCCATAAATGAGAGAAGTTTTGTGAATTGATTGAATGAGAAATACATAAAATACGTTCACTTGTAATGATTGCATTGATTAATGCAAATAAGTTACAGTATATTAATAGCTAAAACTTTATAAATGATAATTAAGTTTCAAATTATTATTATCGTTGAAATGTTTCAATTGTTTGAACGCTTTTTTCCTCATTTTAGCGAAACGTTTGGCTTTAAAGACACAAAACGCAAAACTCCACGAAATGGTGAACAAAAGCACTGATAATACACTGAATTATTATCGTTAAAATGTTTCAATTGTTTGAACGCTTTTTTCCTCATTTTAGCGAAACGTTTGGCTTTAAAGACACAAAACGCAAAACTCCACGAAATGGTGAACAAAAGCACTGATAATACACTGAAAATCACTACAAACACAATATCGGCAACACTTTTAAGACGGCTCTAATCATAATTATGGCAATTATTGTGACCGCAGTTATTGTTAACATATTTTCGGCCGTCTTTTGGTTCGCTGTCTTCAGGAATAAGTGGTCTTCGGATCAAAGTCTTGACTCTTAAACATTTGTTCATTAATTTAGACACAAATATAATGCAATTTATTTATCAATTAATTCACATTCACTCCAAGTGTTCACTAAATCTCAATAAATAATAAAAATAAATAAAACTCTGGGTTTTGTTTCGTAAAAATCATTTTAATTAAAATAATGAAATGAAATACAAATGAATTAAACACTAAGTATAATACGATTGCAATTGTGATCATATTTTTAAAAATTGGTGACAATATAACTGAAATCTATGCTTTGAATTGAAAATTTTAAACTCAAATATTTTTAATCCACTGTTTCTAAGTCTGGCGGAGACTCAAAGCGATAATCAATTTTGGGATAATTAATGACAAAACTATTGAAAGGGATTTCTTTGGTATCATAAGTGCAGATGAGATAAAGGCGTCGGATATGTGTCAGTCGTGACAATGCATTCAACCCATCGTCGGTTAGGATCACTGGATTGAGTCTCAGATCCACGAGTTGTGGCAAATTGTGGTCAATATTAGCGACGAATGAGTCACTGATTGGAAGTAATTGGCACCGGAAGTCCACTTTCAAATGTGTCAATCCTTTCAATTGATTCAACCAATCGCTGCTTATATGCAGTTCATTGCCGATAATGCCTTTCACTTCCAAACGCTTTAATTGTTTAAAGTTTTCATTAATTATTTGAAACACTTTTGGGAAATCAAACAACTGTAAGGCATTCAGTGTTAGAGACATGAGTTGCGGACATTTGCGACCAATTTGTGGCAATAGTTGACCCAAATCTTCAAACGATTGGAAAATTATTTTGATTTCAATCAATGCCGACATTCGTGACAATCCATGCGATAGTCTGTTAACTATATTATCGCTCAAATGGTCCAAAGAATATGAATCCAAAACAATTGTCTTTAATTTGTGGCCATAATTATCGGCCAACAAATCAAATGCATTCAAATGATTGTCAATTGAGTTATCATTGGATTTCCTGAATATCAAGCGAAGACTATTGAGTGGTTTGTAATGCAATTCATTTCCAGCACTCAATGCGAGCCGTATTCGCGACAACCCTTCAAATGTAACTTTAATTTGTGTTAAATTGACACACATTTCAAGCCATCCGTACATCAAATCCAGTGATACATTGACGCCGAAACCAAACGAAATGCAATCCAATTGTTTGGCAAACTTTGCGAAAAAGGGATCCATTGTTTGGACGCTGTCTTCGGCCGACACAGACATATGAATGGCATTCAATTGATGGCAATATTTAATCACTAATTGAATGAATGAATTGCTTGCAGTCAATGGATTGTAACCTCTGCTCTCAATGTGTGTAATGTTTGGACACTTTGCAAGTATTGTCTCAATTGTGTCCAAATTGTCGTCATTTAAGTGGTCGTTGATGTGAAACACCGATTGACTCTTGAATACCACTCTTCGCCACTGTTTTGAGACACTTTCCCAACGAAACCGATCTTTGAATGAGAGGTAAGACAACAACTCTTCGCACAAATCGTCACCAAATCTATCGAAAGAGTCTTTACTATAGTTTTGAGACATTGTTTGACACAAATATAACTAAAACTCAATTCAAAACTCAATTCAAACCACAATTAAAACACGTGTTTATAATAGAAATGAAAAATCAATTGTTTTATAAGTTTTAGAAATAGTGAATGACATAAGCGCTTATGTAATGAGCTGTTCGTATATACAGCTGTAACGTTATATTTATGATTGCATTCACTGCCCCACAAGTTATTTGAATTTTGTTTTAGTTATAACTTATAACTTTCTAATTAACTAAAATTTTAATTAATATAAAACATTAATAACATATTTAGCACACATTTGTAAACTTATAATTTATTAATAATAAAAATGGACTGAATTTATAACAATTGTGGATCACTTGTGGTTGAGTTGGACTCGCAATCGGTTTCCATAAGATTAACACCGGATTTGTATTCATAGTATTCTTTGGCCATTTGTGTCAACTTGAGTGCCATATTCTTCCCGCCTGTTTAGTGAACACACCCTCACTATTAGCCAACAGTTCGTACGGCACTCCCATCTCTGCCATCTCTCCCGCGTCTAAAACCTGGCAAACAATCATTAAATTGTAATTAAAACAATCAAAACCAACAAATGACTGAAACTTACGATAACTCTATCGGAATCGATGATTGTGTTGAGTCTGTGAGCGATTGTAATGACAGTGCAATCATTGAATTTATGGCGAATTGTGTTTTGAATCAATGAATCGGTTTTGTGGTCCACATTAGCGGTCGCCTCGTCCAACACCAGTACCCGATTGTCCCGCAGTATAGCTCTGGCCAAACACACCAATTGGCGCTGACCTACGCTGAAATTATTGTCCCCTTCGGTGATCATACCGTCGAGATGTGGTCGACACAAGACAATGGTATTCAACAGCAAATTCTGTGGCGCTTTCGACTCAATACAACACAAGTTTCCCAAATTGGCAAAAGTACTGCCGTTGAAGACGTGTTCCCCGGTTTGATATCGCATACAATATATCACTTCAATTGATCCCTAAATCTCTATAAACAGGTCTACCATTACTGAAGGCCGGGTTTGTCCTGAAACTCAATTGTCGGGAAAATGATATGAAATGGGAGTCATATAATGGGTTGTCGTTTGTATTCTTCCAGAATCGGTGCAAAACTTATCGCTTAACACTTGGACACAACTGCCTTCCTATCCGATCCTCGCCTATACTATGGGAGGCTTTCTCTCTGATAATTATCTAATGTTTAATATCATTGAAGACTTGGATCAAGTGCTCACCGGTTACAACCAAAATGGCACACAATTAGAAAAGGTTTGAACTAAACATTTCAAAACTCTTATAATTATTACTATTTTTATACAAAAAATTTTAAGTATTTAAATAGATTTCAGTTTTCAAATATTTCCGATGTCCTGAAAATGGTTCAAATGATGGCTTAATCGGGAGATCAATGACTGCCGAGGAATTAAATTTCTCGAGATCTAATGAAGAGCTGAAGAAACGCAATAATAAAACGGCTTTAATCATAATATTGGGTATTATTGTGACCGCAGTTTTCGGTCACATTTTGGATCACTTTTATCAAAGTATAGAGTAGTTAACGTTTGTTCACATATTTAGACACAAATATATGTTAAAATCTTTATACAAAATATCAAATTAATTATAATATATTTTTAATAAATAAATTATTCTAAATTTAATAGTTTATTAAACTTTTATTTATTAAAGAAGATTTTATATAATGAGTCATTATTAATGACAAATATAAACTAAAAATTGATAAATATTTAATAATTAGAAAAGCTGATAAAACTAATTAAAAGTACAAAATTCAAAATCATTTTGGATTAATTTTCTTTCAATTTATTTAGAATTTTATCATTTTATAAATTTATAATTTATATCATAAATTATATGTAAGTTTTTATATATTAATTACTGTAATGTTGTTAATAATTTAAGTTATTTATATGGTTTTTAAAATTTAATTAGATTTTGCTCATACTGAGTTACTTTCAAAATTCAAACAATTATTATTTTAATTTAAAATATTTATAGACAGATGCTTTTACTTTCATAATAATTGGTGTTTATCCAATAGTAAATTCATTGCAATTAGTTGTATATAAAGTTGTATATATACTTTATTTATACTCCAATTATTTGTAACATTGAGTGAAATGTATTTTGATTGGATAAAGGGTTTGATATCCCATATACAGTAATACCGCCTTTAGAGTTAAGGCTTGTATGCAAATCATTTTCATTATAAATGCATAAAATAAGAATTTTATTAATTTACTTTAAACATTTTTACCAACAATAGAAAATACCTGAACCAACACTGCATGAGATAAGCGCTGAAATTAAATCCGGAGAGTTATTAGCAGTGATTGGATCGGTTGGCAGCGGAAAGGTATGTCATTTGCCGACAATTTGAAAAAATACTTAATTAAATTTCAATTATTTAATTGAATTCAGAGCTCATTCTTGATGTCAATGTTGAATGAGTTGACTATAGAGTCGGGACGACTGCGAGTGTCGGGTCGGGTGTCGTACGCGCCGCAGGAGTCGTGGGCTTTCATGTCTACAATCAGAGAGAATAT